TTATTTATAAAAGTAATGGCAGTGTCCGGGCCTAGTTGCGTGCGTCCAACTAATCCACTGTGTACCTCTACCTCCTACCCGTGTATGTATTATACTGGGTGACTTCGTCCAATGAGAACAGATTACGTACTAAGATTTCTCACAGAAAGCACTTAGGCTGGTAATTGTTTTCACTGTTGGAGAAATGGGAATAGAGGTCAAATTAAGAGGTCCAGAAATCTGGAGAGGTTGTCTTTGCCTGTAGAACTGGGGAATTTCACGATAGAAGCTATATCCAAAAAAATGCTTCACCTGTTTTATATCAATGACGACGATAACAACGCTTCACCCCTGAACTAGTAGGGTCGGTTATATGAATCCTCTATTTCCATCTACTCTATTTGGGACCACTTCAAGTTCATTCCAACACATAACTTTCTGTCTTTTAGGACAAATCAATTGTTTTAAGCTAAGGTTCTCTCAACCTGTCTTCTTTTTAAACTAACATACAATTCTTTAAACAAACATGAAAAAATTCTTGCTAAAGACTGAACTTAATGTAAGGGATTAACATGAAAGAGCCTTATCCCATCTAGTTGGTATCGTCTGTGGATCTTTTCTTTCACCTTTTCTTTTTGCTTCACCTGTATTTACTGGAATAGAATGTATACCAGTTTCTGCAGTTCGCATCGTTCTGAAATTTCATCATATGGATCTTGTCTATCGTACCCGAGCTTACCCTTCATATACAGTTGTGTGAAGGTCAAGAAAAGCTCCCAGAAAGCAAGTTATGCTGCCACATATTTCCCTTCATTCTGTGAAATATTCTTTGTCTACAAAGGGAAACTAGTCTGGACTAGACAGCCTCCTGATTGCTCAAGCTTCATTGGACCTATTTCTGCTAATACTCGAGCAGTGGTAGCTGATGCATGCGGTTTAAGATCTCAGTCTCTAAAGTCTTGCAAGAGAGAGGTTATCCTCTCACCAGAACGTGCTCGGTCAAGCTCGTATAGGGACCTACTGTCATCTGGAATCAAAAGTTTAATATTTGAGGAGGGAATTTCATCAGACACTGGTTTATGGCCCAAGAACTTTTCTTCTACTAGTAGAAGTAATCCAATCATTTTCCCTAGTTTATCTATTTCAACAAGTCCTAGCACTGATAGCAGTTGTGCTTCTTCTGCTGAACAAATGGAGTCCCCCGATGTCGAGATGGAAAGTTTAATCAAACAGCTTGAAGAAGCCAGCATAGAATATGAATCATCAAGGAACGTAGCTATTGCAGAGATGCTTAAGCGCAAAAAACTGGAAGCTGAAGCTGTGGAAGCCATGAGAAAGGTAACCGCAAGTCTTTGTATTCCAATTGAGGAACTCTTATTCTTATTGCTCTAGAGACCATCCCATTACTTAAATCTTTTAAGGAAGAACAATATTGATGCATGATAAAATTTGGTTGCTGCTATATATCACAAACATGCTACCTATAGGGCTATGAAGCTAAATTACAGTTATTAGCTTTTCTTATATTGTGGCTTCACATTCACTTGTGGACCAAAGTGATCATGTCTAATTTACCCATAGACCCACTATGGGCTTACCCAAGCTTAAAATTTTGGAGTTACATTCTGTCCATTACTGCATCACTTATAGAACTACTATACTCTACGTTTGCGAACAAGTAATTTGCTACTGGATGTACATTTGTATTATAAGAGTAGTCATTCCTAGGGCCAGTATGTAATTCTATGTAGAGTAGAACGTACCAGTGTAAGAGGAATTGTATGTGGACAGTAATGTCATTTCTCCTTCTTGTAACATCTATAATGGACTGAAAGCACTTCTTAGGCTGCTAATGTCAGAATGTTTGCTTTGTTATAGGTAAAAGCATTTGAATCTGCTCATGCGCATGAAGTTAAACTGAGGAAGGAAGCTGAGGTTGCTTTGGAAAATATATTGCTGGAAAAAGAAAAGCTCTTGAAGGAGAGAGAGGAGAAAACTAGTGAGCTGCGCAAGGCCACGAGAAATATAGCCCTCCTAGATAGTCGTACACAGGAGGCCAATCAGCGGTGTGAAGAGATTACTGGAGAATTGACGTTAATTCATTCCTCCATAGCAACTCTCCGGCAGGAGAAGCGCAAACTTCTGCAGCAAAACACTGAAGCCATGAACTGGATTAATCGGTGGAAGAATCGCGGAAAAGATGGAGGACTAAGTTCAAGTGGCGAGTGCTCTGCATCACCTGAGTTGTTGGAATTTTCACCGTCGGATTTGCAGACAGCAACATGCAACTTTTCTGAGAGCTTCAGGATTGGTCAAGGAGGATATGCTGATGTGTTCAAAGGAGAACTCTCAGATAAAACAGTTGTTATTAAGCAATTGCATCCACATAATATGCAACAGCAGTCACAGTTTTTTGAACAGGTAAAAAATCTCCTTTATATTCACATACTGCATTTAGATAGGATCTGGAACTCCACTCTAAGTTTCTTTATTTCAGAGTTTCCTTTCAGCTTTATAAATCAATTGGTCTCATAATGTCTAGCATGTATTTTTCCTTAATATCATCCAATTAAAGTGCATGGACATTTCCTTGAACCCTAGTTTGTCACTCATCATAATTCATTAGCTAAAATGGAATCACATAATTTTCTCTGCCAACAAATTCTATGATTTTTATGCGCTTGCTCATATAATTATCTTTTCCATATGCAGGTGGAAATTCTAGCTAAGTTACGGCATCCTCAACTGGTCACTTTACTTGGTGTATGTCCAGAAGCCTGGTGCCTCGTTTATGAATATATACCTGGTCGGAGCCTCCAAGACCGCCTATTTTGCAAAAATAACGTTAGTTCCATGAATTGGAAGATGCGAGCACGTATTATTGCCGAAATTGCAAGTGCTCTTCTGTTTTTGCACTCTTCCTACCCTGAACAGATTGTACATGGGGATCTGAGGCCTGAGAATATGCTCCTTGATTCGACAGACAACTGCAAAATATGTGATACCGGGATATCTAGTCTGATTCCTCAGCAAACCCTGCGTTGCCCAAGTTTTGGTCGTCAGACTGAACCAAAGGGTCTCTTTTCATACACTGATCCTGAATTTCATATAACTGGAGCGCTGACAACTAAGTCGGACATTTACTCATTTGGACTAGTTATCCTTCAAATACTCACTGGAAGAACTCTAGCAGGATTACTGAGTGAAGTACGCAGGGCAGTCTCATGTGCAGAATTAGAGTCTCTTTTGGATTCATCTGCTGGAGAATGGTCTACATATGTGTCAAGGAGATTAGCAGAACTGGCTTTGCAATGCTGTGAAGTTAACAGTAGGGATAGGCCTGAGCTGACACCGACTCTTGTAATGGAGCTAGAGAACTTGCATGTACTGGAAGAGCAATCAGTGCCATCTTTTTTCTTATGTCCAATTCGCCAGGTAAGTGATGCTTTCCGCACTATTCAATCATATGAACTATTTTGGTCCTCTAGGGAGCAGGATAGCGAGACATAATGATAAGTTAACTTAGGTTTCAATATTTGGATATAATCGTATATGTATAATAAAAACAAAGAATTGAACGGGAGCAAACTGGTAATGCTGCTCCCATTCTGCATCGTAGAGGTCCAAGGTTCAACATCCAGCCCTATCGTTTCTCTTCACCCTACAAGGCCACCCTTCCCATAAAAGATGGAATTAAAAAACTGTTTCTGTTCACCCTACAAGGCCACCCCTTCCAATAAAAGATGGAATTAAAAAACTTACTCGTAGGCTGTGAGGTTACTGCATTGAGCTGTTCCACTTGCATGACTTTGTAGGCCTCTCGATGGTAATATATGCCTAAATTTAGTCTCTAGTTAAATTGAAGATGATCAAACTAGTGTGCTATGGTGTAGTTTTTTAGATATTCGTGCTCTGATTTGTTGGTAAAAACAATTTCTCTAGGTTTCATGTTTGCTGCAAAATGCTGAAATCGTTGTGAATTTTCTTTCAGGACATAATGCTTGACCCCCAGATCGCTGCAGACGGGTTCACATATGAAGGGGAGGCCATTCAAGGATGGCTGGAAAGTGGTCATGATACTTCTCCAATGACTAATTTGAAACTAAGCCATTTGGAGCTAACTCCTAATCATTCCCTGCGGCTTGCTATCCAGGATTGGCTATGCAACTTAGAATTCCTCACATAGTAATAACATAGACTATTGTAATTCCAAATGTATGTATTCTAGGAGCCTAGGATACAAAGGTAACATAGAAATATAGAACTAGCCTTGCGAAATATAAGGAAAGTGACCGCATATCGTAGATCTCTAATACAACAAAATGGAAAGACATTGTGTTGATAGCAGTCTAGAGAACATTGAAACTGTCTCAGAAGCACTGCAATAGTTATTATGAAATATAGACTGATTTTATGTACTCTATAACTTAGAGTTGTTTCATTTGCCATTTTACTGAGATGCTTAATGTAGCTGAAGGTAGAAGAAGCAAGAAAGCAATTTGTTGAGGGGGCTATTTGGAAAATATAATTCTCATCTGAAGTAGTTAAATCGTTGATTTTGCAATTCAAGGGTATTTCCAAGAGAGAAAAACCCAGTTAGCCATTATTAAAGGACGTAATGTAAATATAAGACGACCCTTATAGAGTCTCATGCGATTGTTGGAATATCTCTACCCTTAACCAGAAGTATAGGGCTCGAGAACTTCTTGGTAGAGACCTTTTTATTGTACGCAGGGTCCGGTGCACTAAGCTCCCGCTATGCGCGGGGTTTGGAGAAGGGCCGGACCGTACGGGTCTATTGTACGCAGTTTTACCCTGCATTTCTGCAAGTAGCTGTTTCCACGACTTGAACTAGTGACCTCCTAGTCACATGGCAGCAACTTTACCCGTTATGCCAAGACTCCCGGCCTTCATATTTCACATGGTTAAAAAAAAAAAAAAACTATGAAACATCAGCATCATTAGGAAGCAAACTCATTAATTCTTCTTCCCCTTAACGTTGTTTTTATCACATCTAACAATGAACAAGAACACTAACTTGGTATTAGCTCTTTCAAGAAAGTAGCAATTATTCCATTAACATGATATATCAGTACAGTTGCATTTCTGCATTGTTGTACCCTGTAGTATACAAAATGAAGCTCAAAACATCTAGTAGTACTGGTACAAGGGAACAGCCAATCGCGCGTTCTTAGCTCTATGTAGCACTCAGACGACTGTTCCTGATAGATAGATGAACGCGTAAAACAACTATTCAGCATATGCACGAGAGCGACTAAAATGAGAGCAACCCTATTGACATGTTTGGAGGACTTGATCTCCAGAAGAAAGTAGGGAGGCTGATGTTAATCGGTCGGTTTCAGTGAAAGGATGATCTTCTTCTGAGGAAAAACCTATTCTTGGATCTGTTTTTTGTTCATCCAAAAGTGATTTTGATTCTCCTTTGAAATTCCACTTATGCATGTCTTCACTTGGAGCCATGTTTTCTTTAAAACTAACACTAGAAACTGCTGCATCCTCCACTTTCTCCATTTTTGTGCTGACAAAATCTTTAGTGTTGAAGTTTGAATTTTCATCATCTTCATTTCCATGATCATTAAACTGTGAATTAGACCTTCCATAAGGTTTTACTGCTGATTCTTCCAAAATTCCTTCAGCTGAATTAGTCCTAATGTTGAAGCTACCAAAACCTTCAATCCCTCTTGATATCTTCCTGGCTTTGTTTCTCTCATCTTTAAGAAGTTGTCCATTTTCTAGCAGCTTCAATATCCTCTCTGATTTGTTTCTAACATTTAGCCCCCAGTTGAATCTGCAGAAGCATTCAAAATACCTTAACTTGTATTACCAAATATAGATTTTTTTTTTTTTAAAAAAGAGCAGCCCGGTGTATTAAGCTCCCGCTATGCGCGGGTCTGGAGGAGGGTCGGACCACAAGAGTTTATCGTACGCAGCCTTATCCTACATTTATGCAAGAGGCTGTTTCCATGGCTCGAATCCGTGACCTCCTGGTCACATGACAACTACTTTAGCAGTTACGCCAAGAAGAAAGAACCGCAAAAAGAATAGGTAAAATGGTAAAAAGCACCCCTTTATTGTACAAAGTATCTTAATTTTATCGCGTATTATGTTTAGGAAGCATTCATACCGTTGCTAGTAGCAATTTATCTCGTACTTGACCTTGACCCTAATGGAACTCCAAAATGGATCCTAACCATGTAACGGAGGAAAATTTTAAAGCATAGTCAAAAGTAGCTAGAGGGGTAAATCTAGACCTTTTTTCTCAAGTGTTTTGACACATGGAATCCACACAGTCTACTCTAGAACTTCATAAGGTCAAGGATAAATGCGAAACGATTTGCTAACGACAATAGTATGAATAACCCTAAAGTATAATGGAAGGTAAAATTAAGATATTTCGTATAGTAAACGAGTAAAGTTGGAACTTTTTTCAAAAGAATAAATTACCCTTTCTCATCAATGAGTTGAAAGTGTCCCATTTCCTTGATAACATCTTTGTCAGTTAGGAATTCCTCAGCAACACTTTCAGGTCCATGAGTCAACAAATGTTCCAGCACAATCACAGCCTTATATGACACCCTCCAATTCTTTCTATCAAAACTTGACAATCTAGACCATACATCAAGAAAGCAATCAAAACATCATCAAGCCTGACAATATTATTCAAGAAACTGCAAAAGATACCGGGTAAGGCAGCCCACGATGTGACTGGTAAAGTTGCTGCCATGTGACCAAGAGGTTACGGGTTCGAGCCATGGAAACAACCTCTTGTAGAAATACCGGGTAAGGCAGCCTACGATAGGCGCTTGTGGTCTGGCCCTTCCCCGAGCCCCGCGCATAGTGGGAGCTTAGTGCACCTGACTGCCCTTATATATATATATAAATAAATAAATAAAAGATCAAAGGAACAAACACATACTTTTTGTGAAGGATCCCAACAATTCTCCAGTAATCATCAACTTCAAAAGCTGCCTTTGATATCATTTTCAGTGTTCTTGTGTCTGGTGCACCTGGATTTCCATTTGTAGCTTCTTCTGCCAATCTTCAAACAACATCATCAGTTTAGTACCTGAACTTTATCCACTATAACAATAGAGTCGGAAAACTATTTTTTGTCTCGTTAAAGTAACTGAACTATGCACGAATTACTCAACAAATACAAATGATCAGAAAGTCAAAGTTTAAAAATCATAGTACAAACAAGAGAACTTACAGTTGAGCTGGTGTAACATCAGTCAAGGCTAATCTAGCTGTCTTGATCTTCTCCTTGAGGAAGAAAGAAGCTTGTTTCTTGAATTCATGGAGTTGGAGATATGGTTGAGACATTTTGTTACTGTTTTCCCTGCCGCCTAGGATTGACATATTCTTGCTACAAGAAAATAATAAAGGATTGTGGACTTTTTGGTAAGAAGTAAAGAGGCTAAATAACTCGAATGATGCAACAGTACACACCTACTCTTTGCTTTTTTAAATGATAGGGCAAGTCAGTGTTATATTTGATTTTCTTATCTCTTAAAAGAAAGAATTATATATTTATCATAATTATATTTTTCTTTTCACATAAGAAAATTATATCTCTTATATTTGGCTAGTCCTTTTCTCGTAGGAAAATGTTTAGACTTCTATAAATTGAGGATCTTTTCTTCTTATTTGGTAGCATCCACAATGTAGTCATATGGGGTTTGAGAGTCTTGTTTAGGAGGAGTAGCTTTACAGGACAAGTGTTAGTGTGCCCTCTTTGTGAGATTGTATGTTCTCTCGATATTTTGTACTCTCTTTTATATAGTAGATTATTCATCTCCGCCGTGGACGTAGTTCAATTGACCGAACCATGCACGTTAAATGTTTGTGTCTCTTTTGACATATTTCTTGTGTGATTTATCGTCATTCAAGGTTTGCTTTACATCTTCCGCATAATACTGATTATTTCGATCCTAACACTGTACGCATCTAAACTATTTTACTAATAACTATTATTTTCTATACTCTATCCAAGTCATCAGCACAGATATTAAATAATTCTATCAGGCGGAGTTTTGTTGGATTTGATAATTTTCTATGATTTTTAATTAATTTATTGACCATTAAGCCAACATTGGAGATTAGGACTCAAAAATCGATAGAGATGAGAAACGTCAAGTTTTTTTTATCTGTCTAAGTCTCGATGGATAGAATTATCTTGAAAAATAATCTGAATTCGATAAAGTTAATCGAGACGTACACAAGCTGATCTGATTTTCTTTTTAAAAGGGCATGCAATAAAGAATAGACAGCTACTTCTCATCCACTATTAGTGGCTAGTGCCTATGTGATGTGGACATAGGAGGGGACACTTGTTGAAAGATATGAGCAAAGGGATGACAAAGTCAAAGGAGGAGATGTGTAATATTAGATGGTAATGGATTTGTTGACCCTTTGTTTATGTTTTGTTCAAAGATTGGTTTTTCACAAGATAGCTAGTGGAGTGGTTCTTGAATATATCATATAATATACTATCTATAGACTTGAAGTAACAGAATGTGTGCCTAATTTAAAATAATATGATCAAATAATATGCCTTCCTACTTATGGTTTATTGTTTTCTTACTCTGATTCACTTTAATTAATTTTTTGGCTATTTTTACACATACTAAGGAATTCACCTTTTAGCATTAATTAATAATAAAATTGACCATATTAACCTTAAATTGTTCATTAAAATATAACAATATTCCTAAACTCTTTACTTCAAGGACAACTTTAGAAAAAAAAATTTATTCCTTCTTGTTATCTGAAAAAAAAAATTAAATATTATGGACCACAAAAAAAGGCCAAAAAGATCAAATTAAGTAGACCGGAGGAAGTATATGTTACATTTATTATTTTTCTTACTGGACGTGAAAAGAGTTAAAAGCGACAATTAAAATAAAATAAAAAGGGAGTAATAAACAAAAAAAAATATACACTGAGATCCCTGGAGAAAGGAACCACACTTTGAAAAACAAGTAATCCAAATGCTCTTTACTTTTGTTGAAAGTCTTGAAACCTTTCATATTGATTGTGCTTTTCTATGAATCGTTTCCCTTTCCCACAACACACTTTCTTCATTATGTAACAGACAAAAAAGATAGAATCTTTCCATTCTTAACTTTATTTATAATACTTGATCTTTCACTATTGTTAGTTTGATTAAATAAGTTGTTTAATTTGATCATGATTTCTCTTATATACACAAATTGACAAAAGATTTTTCCTTTACGTATTTAGTTTTCAAAATTTATTAGTCCGGATAATTTTAGATCTGAGTAGAACATACTAAGAGAATGTTTCTGCTAAGAGTTTTTTCATTCTCAAAATTCGGATCCCAGCCGATATAAAAATATAATTGCTTCCGAGGAAAATAAAATTGAGAAAAAGAATTTATTTTATGAAAAAAAAAGGAAATAAGTTTACCATGTCACGTGCAACCCACATGATTACACCATTAGTTTGGAGGAACAGTTTGAATCAAATCTGAATCTACTTCTAAAAATACAAGCCCATTATACTCCTTTTTGTCTACATCAATATGAAAAAACTTTATCTTCTTTTCTTCTCCTCTTTCATAATTTCTTATATTAAGAGTTGGTGCATGAACAATAATGACAAGATGGGTAAAAACTAGATGAAATTGTAATTATTGGACTGTGATTAGTTGTCTTTTGGGCTTTTAACATATTTGACCGGTCAATCAAAAATAATTACAGCCGCTAGCAAATATACAAAAAAAATACATTGATTATATATAAAATATGTATATTATATGTATTATTATATATTAGCATAAAAAAATATTATATTCACCGGCTATTTGTCACGACCCAAACCGATGGGCCGCGACGGGCACTCGGTGCCTTACTCAACCGAGTACCAACATAACGTATCTTTCGTGTCATGCTATAATAGGTAAATGAGCAGGAAAGGCTGTCATGAGATAACTAGAATAAAGCATGAGGGAATACTTGACATAGGATGACCCAATATGATATACCGACTTATACATATGATGTACGGGCCTATAAGGCCGGCATGATCCTTTATATACTCAAAACATAGGTCGACAAGGCCATACTAGTATCCGTATACATGACATCTGTCTACAAGCCTCTAAGAGTACATAAATATCATAAAGGTCGGGACAGGGCCCCGCCATACCAATCAATACATGTCCTAATCAAACTGACCGAATAAGCAACTCCGAAACAAATGGAGCGCACCAACCTCTTCCGCCGAGCTAATAGCCTACTTGGAGGACTCTCAACCTGTCTATCGGGACCTGCGGGCATGAAACGCAGCGTCCCCATACAAATAATGTACCGAGTATGTAAGGAATAAAAATCAGTAAATAATAGACATGAGAGAAACGTGGAGTAAAAGACTCAACATATAAGTCTGAATAGCTCTGTGAATCATTTAATATTTATAATGTCATGCATATGCGTATAAATGTCATACCATGCATAGGTATATGCGTACATAACATCATCAAGCCTCTGAGAGCATCCCATCATATCATCTCGGCCACTGTGGGCAAATCATCAACGTATACCAGCTGATCAGGTGGTGGTGCGTATATAACGCCGTAACCTTTTCTCATATCCCATATACATATAATATACGCGTATATAACGCCATCTGTTCATGGGTCAATGTACATGTATAGATGAATGAAATGCATAAGAAGTGAGTTAATAAGATTTCTCGGTATGTCATAAGATCAATAAGCCTTTGATTAATATCATGACATAAACTTTATCAACTTACGTATTTTCTGAGACCCATAAACAGATGATGGAATAATAGAAAACATGGAGAATCAAGATCATAGGCACTTCTAGTACTTCTATGAATAGAGTCATTTATGAAAGTTGTGCAATTGCTCGTTTTGTTTGTATCGTATGGATCATGCCAAAAGGAAATAAGGGATAGCCTTAACATACCTGAGCCGATTCTCTTGACAATCCCTCTAACACACGTCAATTGCGACAAAACACGTAACGGCAGATCGAAGTAGGGAAAAATCCATATGATATTCTTGAGAAAGATTGCACCGTACTCCCTTAGAATCTCAAATCTCACGCTTTATCGTATTATGAAGTTTCAAATGAGCTATTTGAGCTCCATCCGTTAGCATGGCCTTAAAATAAGCCTAAATAAGGTAAGTAGATTTCTCAAAATTATTGATTTTTGTAGGCCCCGTTAGGATTACTAAGCTTTGGCCTAAAGGCCCCTAATTATGCCACCTATTTTAATGACTAAGAGTCATTAATTGGGCTTGATCATGACTTTCTTGTGCTGCCACGTTGGGGGGGGGGGGGGAAGCTTATCCAAAAATGATAATTAATTAGCTAATCTCCCACCAAAAATTATTAATTACTCAATTATCCATATAATTAAGAATTATCTCAAATTACTTAAAATACTACTCACTTTTAACATACTTTATGTACCCTACTATCATGGTCATGTGGTACCTTGTATGGCACTAGTCCATAAATACCGAGTATTATAGCTCGGACCGTATTTTATAACAAATTGATAACTTTCAACGAAACTCATCTTCTTTGATTCATTTACCCTTTAACCTTCACGGCACTTACTTATCGCCTGTTATAAATAACAAAAATGCTTATAACCTCAAAATAATCTCAATCCCGAGCCTACGTCGATTAACTTACGACGAAACTTTAACGTACGAAGACGCTAAATGTAATATCCTTCTCTCCTTAGAAACATTCGTCCTCGAATGTTTAACTTCTCAGGACCCATATAAATTTTGGCAGAGTCGCCTTTGTAGCAGTACTACTATCAATCCTTCATGTAGAAAACTCAATAATTCAATGCCACAATCATCAATCACGACAATGGCCTCACACGACCAATGAAAATAATTAACACAAAAATCCATACTCGTACCTTAAGGCTGTGATGTCTCAGTCGGGTCCTTCTCTGGAAGAGGAAATAAGTGAGTATACCTAGACTTCATGTCTTCTTTGGCTTCCCAAGTCATTTCTTCCACATTATTGTTTCTCCAAAGTACTTTCACCGAAGCTATATCTTTAGTCCTCAATCTCCGGACCTGTCTATCTAGTATGGCAATGGGAGTTTCCTCATATGATAGCTGCTCTGTGACCTGAACATCGTCAACCGACACGACTCTGCAAGGATCTCTGATACATTTATGAAGCATAGACACATAAAGACTGGATGTGCAGACTCCAAGTCAGAAGGCAAGTCTAACTCATATGCCACTTGGCCTACCTTGTGTATGATCTTATATGGTCCAATGTACCGAGGTCTAAGTTTTCCTTTCTTACCGAACCTCATAACACCTTTCATTGGTGATACCTTTAGGAATACCCAATCGTCAACCTGAAACTCCAAGTCGCGTTGTCGTTTATCCGCATAAGACT